TTTAGCTGGCAACGGCGAATGGCACGGTGGATTGTGTTCACCGACGATGTTTTCTGGAAGTATTCCTGAGCCCATGTTGTGATTTCCATTACATTAGCATTCCTGTATGTGATGCAGTGTCGTCTAAGGGCCCGAAGATCACGGGCATCCAGTATGGTTTTCCGGGCTTGACCCTTATGCACAGAGATTGTTCCAGATTCTCTGAATCTTTGGATGATATTATGCACTGTAGATGATGATAACTTCAAACTCTTTGCAATTTTTCTCTGAGAAACTCCTTTCTGATATTGCTCCACTATTTTTCGCCGCAGCATTGGGGGAATTGGTGATCCTCTGCCCATCTTGACTTCTGAGAGACACTGCCACTCTGAGAGGCTCTTTTTATACCCAATCATGTTGCCAATTGACCTAATAAGTTGCAAATTGGTCCTCCAGCTGTTCCTTATATGTACATTTAACTTTTCCGGCCTCTTATTGCTACCTGTCCCAACTTTTTTGGAATGTGTAGCTCTCATGAAATCCAAAATGAGCCAATATTTGGCATGACATTTCAAAATGTCTCACTTTCAACATTTGATATGTTATCTATATTCTATTGTGAATAAAATATAAGTTTATGAGATTTGTAAATTATTCCATTCCTTTTTTACTCACAATTTGTACAGTGTCCCAACTTTTTTGGAATTGGGTTTGTACATGTTAATATGTGTTAAGGCCGATGAAATGTATAATCATAGAAAATGAGACATACACAAGTATGCTGAAGTTAATATGCAGGGTGTATTTACACAATATTCCTAAAATAATTTAAAACAGAGAAGTATTATTGTCTTTTACACGTTCACAATTAAAACGTGATTGGAGTGCTGAAAAAATATTTAAAAAGTTCAATTTTAGTTTGAAATCATCTGCACCAATGTTCATGCAAAAATGCATTACCATGGTGAATTTAGCAATTAGGTTTTCTAGGAGTTTTTTAATAAAAGTAATATTTAAAAAATGAATAAAACTCGAAGTTGACCCATAATGTGACCAAAAAAAAAATCTAATTTTATGCACTATTAAATAAAATGGTAAGGTTAGTAATAATCATTAATGACAGCTATAGTAATCTTACCAATTTAATACAGTGTGAAATGGGAATTTTGAAAAGAGACAGAATTTTAAAAATTGGGTGATATTCTAATTCACAGCTGAAACATCTTGGAGGACATGCATCTTCACATCTCATTCTGTCTCTATGCAAATCGGTTTGACTATATCAAAGTGATCATGTTTTCATTCTCTCAAACTTCCCAAATGTTCGACTTTCATTCAACAACAAAGAAACTTCCACAAGGTCACACGTCTCCCCAGAGACAAAAACACAAGAGCAAAGATACATTTTTTTGGCCTATTGGTCTGGATTTACCCTGTCCTTTGTGGTTGACCTCTCGCGCTGCAATGACCTTGTTGAAGACAGCAACGAGTGGCTCATTCTCGCCAATGACACGAGACGGCATGAGAGGAGACATGATTAGCTGCCTCTGACGGATGTACGTTTCCATGGCAATCCTAGGAAAAGAGAGTCCAAGAGGAGAAGGACAAATTTGAAGAAAAATAGCAAAATACAGCCTAGGGGTAACAGTGTATGATCTGTCCAAAATAAACAATGTATGAAAATTTTTTTTTTTTTTTTAAATGAAAAGATAAACTACAATCAGGCAAATGAAGGATGCTGTAATCTCAAAGGACACACTCACTGTTGAAATGGGATGAAATACTGCTTATCATCATCATCAATTTTCCCATGGGCAATATCTGTGATATCCATGACTGTAGACACAAAGAAACATGAGGCTGGTGCTGATCCGAACCACAGATACATTACATTTAATTACTACATTCAATATTGTTCACATTGCCTTAGAGGGAGAGCAAATACCTCATATTTTCTAAGTATTTGTTTTCAGATGTATTCGAAGGTGAAAGATGTGGCACAAATTGTTCATTTTGTCTTCCCACAATTCTTAGAATGTTTTTCAATGTTGATAAGAGATTCAATTAGAGTCTATAGGAATCTCAATATCAGCTTTTAATTTGGAAGCTGGTATACCAAATGAAAACACTCAACATTATTATTAAATTGAAGAAAAATAGCATCTTTTCTGTGAAATTGCTTGCTGCCAATAACTGCTTTTGTTCGAAATTAATAGAATAACTCACTAAAAATGAAAATTTGCTTAAAATGTACTCACCATCAGGCCATCCAAGATGTAGAGAAGTCTGTTTCTTCATCTGAACAGATTTGGAGAAACTGAGCATTACATCACTTGCTCACCAATGGATCCTCTGCAGTGAATGGGTGCCGTCAGAATGAGAGTCCAAACAGTTGATAAAACCATCACAATGATCCACAAGTAATCCACACCACTCCAGTCCATCAATTATCCTCTTGTGAAGTGAAAAGACGCGTGTTTGCAAGAGACGAATCCATCATTACATTTTATTTTTAACTTCAATCTGCTACTTCCGGCTAAAATATGAATCCTCTATCCATAATATTGCTTTCTCCAGTGAAAAAGTTAAAAATCACTTTAAATATGCACAGATCAAGCACTGTTCAAATGCATATTTGAATAACATTTTTAAAAAAATAATTTAAAGACACTTGAGAGGAAAGTCTATGAGTGTTGTGTTAAAAATTATGATGGAAATTTGATACGTTTAAAAAATAAAAAAAACTACAAAAAATTGCACTTTTCATGCAAAAGATTGAGACCAATTTTGCAAAAAACTGAAGATAAAAATTTTCTATAAATATTTAATATTTAGGAAGCAAGGTTTTAACACCACCAATATCAGAATTTTTTCATAATCAGTTTGTTTTTCTTCAATTTATTCTTATTTTTTATTTAAAATACTGTTTTCTATTTTAATTTGCCGCTTCTCTAAATGCAACTTCTCACAAAGACAGTATCTGTAAGTATCTCAGTATCTCACAAAGACAGTATCTGTACTGATACAGTATCTGTATCAGTTATTTTGTGATAAATCTTATGCATCTGTTTATCTCCATTTATTAGGGACTATGGTAGTTTTGTTCAATAAAATGTTAATATATATATTGATCACAAAATGTTTTGGTAGCGTTTATGCCAAGCTTTGGGTCGGTAGGATTTTTTTTTCCAGAAATTAACACTTTTATTCATTAAATTGATTAAAAGTGACAGTAAAGACATTTACTGTGAAACATTACAAAACATTTCTATTTCAAATAAATGCTGATCTTTTGAACTTTCCATTCATCATAGAATCCTAAAAGTACTATGGTTTATAGAAAAATATTATGCAGCAATATTGCTAATAATTAGAAATGTTTCTTGAGCATCAAAACAGCATGTTAGAATGATTTCTGAAGAATCATGTGACACTGAAAACTGGAGTAATGATGCTGAAAATGAATGGCATTTTAAAATATATTAAAATACAAAACATTTTAAATTGTAATATTGTACTGCTCCTTAAAATGAACGTTTGCATTTAGCGCTTACCCAAAAATGAAAATTGTCATTGTTACTAGACACTCAAGTTGTTGCAAACCTATATTAATTGCTTTCTTCTGAATATTTCACTGTTGTACAAACAACGTTGGATATTTTTCAAAATATCTTGTTTTCCACAGAAGAAAAAAGTACGGTAGCCGAGAAGTGCAAAGCAAATCACAATTCTGAAAACAAAATAACAAATTACAAACGCAAATGCAAGTCTAAAAAACAAAATAACAATTCCGAAAGCACAACAACAATTCAGAAAACATTATAACATGTCAGAAAACCCAATGACAAATTTGAAAACAAAATAACAAGTCAGAAAACACAACGACAAATCAGACAAACCGGAAGAGGTAGGTATAGTTTGAGACAGCGCCATTGGTTTGGGATTACTCACCGCTGACTGGACGAGACATCTGTCAATCAACATATACAGGGAAGAACCAGCCGAAGAACAGCAGAGTCGTGGTAGAAAGTTCGGAGATGGTATTGTCTTTGGCTTTTTGACGCGATCGATCCGGGTTCGATCCTGCCTTTTGCCGAACTTTTTTTTTCTCCCTTTTCAAATCTCGTATCACATCGTAAAGGCATTTATTTTCAATAAAAATTAAGGAAATAATCAAAAAGTTGAAAATAAAATCGAACCCGGGTCGATCGCGTCAAAAAGCCAACGACACGCACTTATCCATCTGCGTCACTGGTGCTGATGTTTTACAGCCACTTTTAACTAAATGTAAATAAACACTCCATATTTTTTATTACATAGGAAGGGCAATTCATACAATACATTTAAACTGAGCTACTTTAATACCATCTCCGAACTTTCTACCACGACTCTGCTGTTCTTCGGCTGGTTCTTCCTGTATACGTTGATTGACAGATGTCTCGTCCAGTCAGCGGTGAGTAATCCCAAACCAATGGCGCTGTCTCAAACTATACCTACCTCTTCCGGTTTGTCTGATTTGTCGTTGTGTTTTCTGACTTGTTATTTTGTTTTCGAATTTGTCATTGTGATTTCTGACTTGTTATAATGTTTTCTGAATTGTTGTTGTGCTTTGCACTTCTCGACCACCGTAAAAAAGCCTTACAGATTTGCAATGACATGAGTGTGAGAAAATGAGAGTAGAAAATTTCAGAGAGAGAAGAAAATGGTCATGGAAACCATTAACATTTTTAATATTATAATTGGACTTTGAGCAAAATAAACTGTGTCAAAGTGTAAAATATGAGTCTTTTAAATCATGTAAGCAAATATGGTGCTTAATTTGAATGTTGCAGGCCACATGTGAAGAACATTCTTTCCAGCAGCTCTCAGAGCTTCAGCAGGACTCTGGGATACCCCAGATTATGTGTTCAGTGCAAGTGTGAACACGCTATAAGAAAGTGTGGGAGGACGTGTCAAGACACGCTGGAACTCGACACTCACCTTCAAATGTCTCAAGTATGTGTACAGTGTCCCCCACCTGAAGACTCAGCTCTGGCTCTCCTCTGGCATCATAGTTATCGATAGCTGAAATTGAGACAAAAGGGTGTCACAGACTGCAGAGAGCAAAGAGATACCAAAAAATAAAAACAACAAGGCTGCTGTCTGTCCTGTGAAAGAGGGAAAAAAATGACAGCGCACCAACTGTTGAACAAGTCCTTGAGGAACGTTCTCGTGTTCTGCAGGAAAACAGCCACTTGACATGTCTGACATCTATCAGTATGACTCAGATCTTCAAAATAACAGCCAGATGCAACCCAAACTCCGAATGAGATTACAATAAAAACGATTTTTAGAAGATCATGTGAGTTGATTTTGCCCCGGAAAACAAGCCACCACACAATGCAATGGCATTGCTATGTAGCTGCTAGGATGTTTGGGGTGGTTTTGAATTTTGGGGGAAAAAATCTAATTGCAATTTTTCTGATAAAATTGTGATTGTCATTTCAAATGTGATTTTTTTTTTAAATCTAGGTTTACTGTGCTTGTTTGTAGAGCTACACAATTTGCCAAAATTTTGTGATTACAGTATCACTATGGACATCAAATACTACTACCAATTATCATTATTATTACTACTATATTTTATATATTTACTAAATAAAAATATAAAAATACTACATAAAAAAATATTACAAAATAATTAACTATAATTGTAATAATATAAATATTGCATTATTTTATTGTAAAATAAAAATCAAGTATTTAAGAAAAATAATATTATTATTACTTTACGACTGTAAATGACATTATTTATGGCTGTCTTAATTTCTTCATTTTCAAATGTTAAACCATCAAACTTTTATTTGAATGGGAAAACCACAGGAAGTCCCTAAAGCTTCTCTTGTTGATAAGCGCTTCTCGTTGCAAGTATGAGAAGATTGTTGGAGCATGTTGCATTTCCAAATGCACGTTAAAGCAACCCAAACTCAAGAGCAGATGCATGCATTTATTTAAATGACAGCCTTTGCTATTTGAAAATTGCTCTAAGCCATATCACAAATTTGACTTTAATCTGATTAATAAAGCAGCCAGCCTAAATCAAAAAAGCCTACATCAAGTCTGTTTTAATATTATAAAGATATAGCTTGGTTCCCTCCTTCAGGGTCAGCAATAGTAATAGCAATGCTTGCCTTCCCAAACGCCTCTTAAAACATGTATCTGAGTCAGTTTCACCATGCTGTAAGGGTTACACCAGACAATAGGAGAGTTTGTGCTGTACTTGGATGCAATATTGGCTTGCACAAACAGCATCTGAAATGTTGGGCACAGTGCAAGTGCTGATTCATGGAATGTGAACACACTAAGAGGCGCTGAGTGCTTTCCTCTTAACCTCTTAAAACACGTATCTGAGTCAGTTTCACCATGCTGTAAGGGTTACACCAGACAATATTGGCTTGCACAAACAGCATCTGAAATGTTGGGCACAGTGCAAGTGCTGATTCATGGAATGTGAACACACTAAGAGGCGCTGAGTGCTTTCCTCTTACTAGTAGTAACATTTTTGGGCTGTTGAACTGCAAATGAACCTGAAAGTGCATGTCTACACTACAAGACTGAAGGCCTGAGTTTTCCCTCCCTCTTCAGTGCTGAAGGACACTTAGTGGGAGTGCAAGATTTCCTTGTGCCATGCATCTGCCTCTGCTGAACACACACAAAAACGAGCGTATGTGAGTATAAAGGCGCAATCTAGAAAAGTTAAACAGATTACCTTCCTCATTTGCCGTACACATATTAGCCTAGGCTTCATTAAAGATATAGATGCGATCACTGCAACATGATTGGCTGATACTCGAGGTGGGTGATAAACCAGTTCATAAACTCATTTAAATAAACTGTCCAGTATCATATCAATTATGCAAAACACATAGGTCACTTTAAAAATTGACTGCTAAGGAGGAAATGACCTGTCTCTAAGCCCCTCCCCCAAAAGTAACAGTAAAGACATTTATAATAATGCAATTAAGTGAATGACCATAGAAATAGCAGCAGCAGTTCCAAAGATCTAGATTAACAATGGCCACACAATATATCAGGACTCTATTGGTTATTTTTATAGGACACTTATATAGATAATTCATTTCCATATATTTTTAGACTTCAGATTACTTTTGCAATCATCTAGCTAAAAAGGACAATAGTAGATTACAGCAAACAATTAACCTTTTC